ATGCAAAAGTCCAAGCCAGTGATAACAATGACATTGTGAGAGGAGACTTTCTTCGAGCTAGAATGTGTGCTTTTATATATAAGTACACAAGTCTTCGATATTTCTATCCAATAATGGCTATTTAACGTTGTTCAAATTTTATTACCTCGCAATTTTTCAATTGACACTAAACCATAGTCTATAACAATAGTAAAGGAAAATACACAAAGTATTTATGCAAGAATTCTACACATTTATAGGAAAATACTGTAATTCTACCTAAATTTATGTTAATTATTCAATGCTAAATATACAACTATATATAACATTATGCTATACACGAGAATTATACAGATTTATACAAACACATTTTTTATTCAAATTATTTTAAACTTGAGTAACTAAAATAGAAGAGAGAGATAGTGAAATAAATCTTTTTAATTTGATAGATTTTCCCCGTGTTAGAATTTATTTTGTTGATTTCCTCGCCTATATTTCCATCGACCAGAGATGGTTCATTTTGGAGACCACTAACCGCAGACATTATGTGGTCTTCAAGGTATAAATGTCCTATTTGTGTATGTTAACATGGTATATCTAAGATTTACATTTATACTATCAGTATATATATAGAATTTAAACTCAGAAACTTTATAGAAATTAAAGGCTCACCCAATTCCATAAGTGCCTCCAGTGACAAGAGCCACCAAACCATTAAGTGACCATCTGGATCCTCCAACCTTTGCCATTGTGAAATTTCTTTTGTCTAGCTAATTGATTATTCAAAAAAATATATATTGTAAGTATATAGTACTAGTATTGTTTTTTCATAAAGAAGATACTATATGTGACCTATAAATACTAGGGAAAACGGGCCATAAAATCTAAAATATTTACAAGTTTATACCCAAATTCAAAATAATTTTTGAAATATACATTTTCTCATAAATAATTACAGTCCATACCCCCATTCAATAAGGGTGATAATTTTTGCTTAAGTGATACTAAATCGGTATCATATATTGTATTGGTATCATTAAGGTTGATAATTTTGCTTAACTGTACTAAATCAGTATATATATAATGTATTGGTATCATTAAGGTTTCTTGTTCAAAAATTACTTATTAGTCAATGATACTATACGAGTATATATGTATATTGTTGTGGTATCATTAAGGTTTGTTGTTAAGAAATTACTTACTAGTAAATGATACTATAAGAGTGTGTGTGTGTGTGTGTGTGTGTGTGTTTATATATAATGGTATCATTAAGGTTTCTTGTTAAAAAATTACTCATTAGTCAATGATACTATAAGAGTATATATATACTCTTATAGTATCATTGACTAATGAGTAATGTATATATATATACTCTTATAGTATCATTGACTAATGAGTAATTTCTCAACAACAAACCTTAATGATACCAATATAGTATATATATATGCTAATTTAGTATCAATTCAGTGAAATTATCAGTCATAATGATACCAATACAATATATATGATATTGATTTAGTATCAGTTAAGCGAACTTAGTAAATGGGGTATATAGTGTAATTATTTAGTGGAGTATGAATATAAAGAGGTATATGTTTATAATTATTTTGATTTTATGAGGTATTTGCTTATTTTTCCCTAAATACTACTCCCATTTTTATGTTGGTGGGCCTTTAATTATTTGAGCATTATTGTCACGTACATTGAATACGATAAGCATGGGCACTATCTTATGAAAGTTCAGAGAAACATAATTGATCTAGCTATATATATATACTACAATAATTTGGTGTGAGGGATAAAAATAAATAGTGATGGGATAAGAAAATATAGTGATGGAATAAATTTTTTGTATCTTGTTTGGTTGTCATGTTTGGGATAACTTATCCCACTGTTTATATCATGTTAGTGAAAACTTACAAGATAACAAAAATACAAGATTACAATTGAAAATAAAAATGAAGAAATAAATCTCTTCAGGCTGAGGAGCGAATATCTCGCTCTCTTTAAGGAGATTCAAGCCCACTGCAGCAAATGTTTTCACCGGTCCAGCAGTAGTCCTCTTGACTTGTCCCCTCCAGGATACAACAGCCTTCACAAAGTATAACTCAACAAATCTGGACAAGAGTTGAGTCCAAAGCTCCACAAAAAAGAACACCTCCCTTCAACTAATAAGAACTCTCTTTTTGACAAACCTTATACACTCTATATTTTCTTGTTGTATTGTGTGTAACAAACCAAATGAAGATCACCACTATTTATACTAAAAGAAGTCTTCCTAGCAGTGAATAGGAAGATAATGGTGTAGTAAATAGTGAAGATAATGGACTTAGGAGTTACATAGGTTAATGGATAATGGAGGAGTAAAGAATGGAATAATGAATCACTAAGCCACCAACGGCTTGCTGCTGCACCAAAAAGTTTGTAACATATGCACTAACTCCATTTGGAGTAATGCTGAATAGTAATGCAACAATTATGATTGTTATTACATCCAACATTTTGTAACCTATGAAAAGTGAGAAGTCAACCAACGGCCAGAAATCAATATCTGTGTGACTATGCAGAATATTGCAAAATTTAATATATTTTAGAATATTAAAATGTCACACTAGCATATCATAGTGATGAGATAAGTTATACCATATACATAGTGGGATATATAAGTTATCCCAGGATAATTTAAAAAGTTTTTTATTTCTAAAATTTCATTTTTCAGTCAAATATCGCCACATACATTGAAGCAGAGGAACTAATACTCATATACAACAAGAAGACCGTTAGCTTGAGATCTAATAATAAAGTAGAAAATAAATATTAATTTTGAGATATGAAGTAATTACTTAAGTCTTTAAGACCACTCTATATAGTCTCAGACTCAAACTCACTTACAATTACAAGTCGAATAATTATAATATTAAATCGACAACATTGTTTTAATTTGCACAAAATTTTACATACGTGAAAATTATGGTAATGTTTCATTTTGGGTTCTTGAGTTCGAACCCCATTCAATGGCTTCTGCAACCGCTCTCTCTCGTTCTGTAATTTTATTTTCTTCATGACTTTCTTCATTATCAGACGATGAAACGGGCAATGAGGGAGAAACCGGAGAAACTGGTGACCCGAATCTCTCACCCGATTCAGCCCAAAGGAAAGTGAGAGCAGTGACCACGTCACTGATTGATGGACGAACGGTTGGATCTTCCTGTAGACACATGGCAGCAATTGCAACCGCTTGATTAAAACTTCTTTTTGGAATATCTCCTTTAAATAATGGATCTGCCAGTTCTGAATATCTACTTGTGTCTTTAAAAATTGGTTCCGCCTGAAAAAATAGTATTTATACACTGACTATAAAAAATATATGTAACACATTTCTATATATAATAACAATACATAATTAGGCTTTTTAAGTTCTTTTTCTCGAGAACCCTCACCTTTCTGAAGTGCTTATCATCTGATCAACTCCTTATTATTGATACTTAAAGTATGTATGCCTTTTTTTTACTTATATTTTGCACATAGATATATGTAGTATATTCAAGTAAAACATTGTATATCCTACCAAATAACGAAGTAAAAATTATATTGTGCAACTAGTGTACAGATAATTGTTTTCTGGTTATATATAAAATGTTGAATCCCTTTTGCATCAATGAAGATATATAAGGGGATTCAAAAATTTGTGATAGACCACACATCCAAGTTTCAAATCTTCAACATAAAGTCCTGATTCTGCTACTTTTTTTTCTTTTTTTTACCGTGGTTTCCGGGCGTCGCTTTGCGAACCCGACTAGCTGTACCCACCGGGTCCCGCTGTTTCAAGGCGGGTCCACCACGGTTAGTTCCACGGGGCCCTGGAGACGCGGCCGGTTTGTAATGCCTCCAGTGGCCCTGCTGGGGCTCGAACCGGCGACCTGAAGGACTTTGTCCTGATTCTGCTACTGACTAACACTAATCATGAAATTCGAAAAATAGAGAGTAGGAGGGAAAATGTTTTGACTTACCCAAGCAACTAAAATCTGTTCATGTCCATTTTTTGTAGGATCAACAGCTCTTCTTCCAGTAATTAGCTCCAATAAAACAACACCAAAGCTATAAACATCTGATTTAACAGAAAGTTGTCCTGTTCTTTGATATTCTGGAGCACAATAACCATAAGTTCCCATAACTCTGGAAGAAACATGGGAATTATCACCCATTGGTCCAAGTTTTGCTAATCCAAAATCTGATAATTTAGCATTATACTCTTTATCCAATAAAATATTTGAGGATTTCAAGTCTCTATATATGACTGGTGGATTTGCTTTATGATGTAAATATTCTAGACCCTTTGCTGCATTTGATGCTATTTTCATCCTTGTAAACCAATCTAATGGACTTCTATCTGCTGAAACGTCTAAACAATAATAATTCAAACATTGGTTAGTTTAATTGAGAAGAGTTACCTTCAAAATATAAAGAAGTAATGTAAACGGGATCCAACTCACAATCAAAAAGAATGTTCAATAGCTATTTTCATAAATATTTTGATTGGGTCGGTGAGAAAATAAAAAATAGTAATGTTTACATAACTATTTTAGTGAGAATCTGTATCACACCACACATTTTCCTTATGAACTAGTTCGGAGGAAAACGATTGAAAAAAAATCATGTCTTATAGCACAAATTTTCAAATGATTCGCGATGAAAAAATCTTTATTTCTAATAATGTATAAATACATAAAAAATAATTTTGACCTGTTGATGAAAATGCAATTACAGATAAAAAAAAATATACTATATTTTTAGTCAGAGGTGGTGGGTATCTTGCTCTATTGTATACATGGATGGAGCTAAGGTATCGCAAGTAGTTGCTCTGAATCTAAAATTTACATTTTATATATGAGGTGAAAAAATAGTTTGTTTATATAATACTATGTTGAATTCCGATTTCTTCCTATGTTATTATTACTTTACAAGTGATTTGACTATATAAATATTTTTTACGAGTGCATAAAACTTAAACTCATACGTACCAAATAGATGATCCTCAAGGGCTCCCTGTTGCATATACTCATAAACTAGAAGTCTTTGTTCTCCATCAGCACAATAACCAATAAGGTTAACAAGATTATTGTGGTGAAGAAGGCTCAACATCAACACCTCTACAAGAAATTCTCTATTTCCTTGTAATCCATTACGGTCAAGCTGTTTCACTGCTATAACCTGAAAAACAAAAATGAAAGTACTATAATTTCAAGGACAAATGGCAGACGAATTCAAGATTTTAAATTTATAATTTTGAATTTTTGGATGAGATGATAACAAGTTCGGAATAAATTATTTATATATATTAGGGGTAGCAAAATTAATTCTTAAGATCAAATAGTTTCATTTCTTAACTCAATCTGTCTTAAACCGCTCAAATACATCTTATCTAAAAGTTGGTCTCATTTAGGGCTAAGTATATGACATTTTCAAAATATTTATATACTTTTTTTTGTTAGATATGTTATATATATAATTATAATAAAGGGAAAAAAAGGATATATGTATGTTCTGGTTGGTAACTAAACAAATTATGAAAAGAAAAAACAATAAAACTAGAAATTGGTAAGATTGGACGATTGGATTATAACTCATTATTTAGCCTATCTTGATTCAAGAAATCTTAATAATAACTCAGTTGGTCAGTCACATGATTCATTTTCATTTTAGTAATAATGAAAAAAAGACTATCTTAATTCAACGGACAATGACTTAATTATTTATTCAGTTCATTTTAACTCATTCAAATTCAATCCAAACCGTCCATTTTGCCATCACCTCATTGTGGTAGTAATAGCGCGGGCTAGCCTGTTGTCAGCCATGTTAATGTAAGTACTGAAAAATCGTCATTGTCATGGAGTTTTAAATTCCATAGGTAAAACTCCATGATAATAATATCACGAAATTTGAAACTTCAAGACGGTGACTATTTTTCTATTTTGTGTCACAAAAAAAAATAGAATTACCTGGCCAGTTCTATCAAGGTGACCTTTGTAAACTCTTCCAAATCCACCTTCACCTATTAGACATTCTTGGCGGAAATTCTTTGTAGCAGTTGCAAGTTCTCTGAAAGTGAATGTTTGAGCTGCAATATTCTTGTTTTCTTCATCCTTCTTATAATTACCAACCGTTTGGCTTATTATATTCTCTGAAAATTATAAATATTTTATTTATTACAAGAAAAAAAAATGTGCATATTAAAGATTTTTGTAAAACACACAACTAGTTTGAAATGATTGATCATGCAATGCAAATTGCGATTCCATGAATTCAACCGAACACAATATTTTTCTTTTATATATATAAGCTCTAATTAGACATATATCTGAAAATTCATTAATATTTCAATAAATATTAAACTTTTACCACGGGTCGATGATGAAAAAAAGGTGATAATTAAGATGAGTTTAGTTGAACTCAATATTTTTTATATACTCTAATTAGATAGATTGAACAATCAAATTTAAACATAGATTTCAATAAATATTAAATTTTGAATACATAAATTTCAAATTACAATAGGTTGGTACCAGCCAATAACATGGATGGAAAAAACAAAAAAAAGTGATAAGAACATATAGCTTGAAATTTCGATCGAAACAAAGTGGTTGGTTTCCCACATACATAGAATTTAAACTTTGAATTTTCAATAAACATTATTAAATTTTGAACCCATAATTTCAAAATTGTTAATGACTTGTTGATAAGAACATAGACGATAAAAAGCTAACATAAATGTATAGTATTAGATTGAACAATCAAATTTAAATCTTGAATCCGTATGTACCTGGATGTGTTCGTTGCGGCGGTTGAGAATGTGGCTTATGCTGCGTCTTTGTCTTAGAAAAAGGCTGTGCTTGTTCTGGCGATAGATTTTCTCTATGAGGATGAACAGAAGTTGATGTTTCTTTTCTTTTCTTTTTATTATTATTATTATTATTAGATGTTTTATTCTCATTAAACGAAAAACATGAAAAACAATTCATGTCTTTTATTCTAAAAAATGAACAACAAAAAAAACAACCAAATTCTCCAATCTTGATCCTATTTTTTTTTTCTATTACAAAAAATAATATGTTGAAGACAAAAAGGTTGCTTGCTATAAAAGACTCAAGAAAATACGGGTCTTGTTTATGAAAATGCAGAGACCCAAGAATGCAATTAATGGAAAATGGTCTCTATAAATATATGTATATAATTAGGAATAATCTGTCTGGCAAATTAATTAAAATTTGAATAAATTGTTTTTTTTTGTTTTTATAAATGAGCCATTTTTGTTTAGCTGGAGACAGAGAAAGGATAGGTGATGGAAGCATGTTCTTTTTTTTTTTTTCTTTATGAAATTATCCGTAGAAAATGGAGATTTTAATGGATTTGAGGATTTGGAGGAATGTTTGGTAGAGATGTGTGTGAGAACGAATTTTTTATGAGCAGTGTCGATGGTAATTACATTTGTTAATATATTAATATATTAGAGTATTAACTTAAACGCAAATAACTTAAAAAGATTAGAATTTGAAACTCATAAGCTTCGAATTCCAGCTCCCACCACGACGGTTAATGCTAACCAACTTAAAGAATATTTATAAAATAATAAACAAATGTATTACATGAACTGGTATTTCTGAAAGAGTGTTTCTTTTAGTACATATATATGGAAAAGTGCTCGACACGTTTATAGCTCAACATAGTAAATACAATTAGTGAAATATCAGAGATATATAGAGTCAAACTATTTTTATCATTTATTATAACTTTAATTTTTTTTAAATGTAATTTATGTTTCAGTTCAAATGCTCCTAACTATGGGAGATCAGACACGAGGGTATGCTGCCAAAAAATGAAGAAAAAGCTGTGACCCACAATAGAAGCTTTCTTGATTGTCTTAAAATTAAATAGTTGTTGTTAATTTACAAGGGCAGTATCCGGGCCAGCTTTCGTGCACCTCAACTAATTCCACGGGATACCAGCCACAGTGATAAAGAATTCCATAGCAAAAACCACTCCACCAAGCAACCTTCAATACATGGCATCATCTGCAAACGAGAGCAATAAGAAGTAACAAATACTGAAATACTGCTGCATCAAATAAAAGAAGAAAAGAAACAGCAAATTGGATCATACCATTATTATCTTCATTCATGTTGTAGTCGTCTTCATCGTCATCGTAATCATAAAGATTCTGTATAATTGTTCAAGAGTTTCAATATACAAAGCATTCTGATTTCAAGTTCCTCAATATGTCTGTCAAGTTAGGGAAGCACACGGTTTTCCCACATACCTGATTGTAATCTCCGTCATCGCTAAATTCTTCTTCTTCCTCTCCAACCTTCTCCTCTGGATCTTCGTCCTCGTCTTCACCATCTTTTTTCTTTTCATCATCGCCCTATGCAATTGCAGTGAAAAGAAACATAACACTCAAAAGATAAACATTACAGTAGACAAGTCAACTTTTTTGCTAAAACACCTCAAAGGAAACATTTTTTATATGGACAAAGGTAAAACCTTAGACTTTTGATCAAGCTTTTCCAAAAGATCCAATTTTCGCATGTCTGTCACCAAAAAACAATTTCATGAGCTCGACAAATTACAACAAACACAAGGCAAAAGAGAGAAAAGCATCTGCATTTCTTTTTCTTGGCATCTAAACTGACCAAGTACATTGTGTCTACTGAAATTGACAAAGACGCGCTTGTGCATATCACATAAGCTAAAACAAGGTTCCAAACCGAGCTTGGTTTCTTTAAAGAGCTCTACCACTGATCAATGGATTGGTACACTCAACTTGAAGCAATTACGCCACATGCTAGCATGGGATGTTCAGGTATGTCGTTGCAAATGATCATTATTTGGGTGTCTCCAAGTACATGTGGTACAAAGCCAATGTCTGCCAGGCAATGTGCTCATGATGCTTTGCTAGAGGTTCTGATGCAGGTTTATTCAAAGAGCTTTGCTATAAATCAGTACTTCTATTACCAAAGTGTAAAGACTTTATTTTTTTGATAAGGTAAATAACTTTATTGACAAACCATACTGTAAAGATTTTATGCATGGTATGTTCAGAGAACATGATTTGCAACTCGACAGTCGACACTTCAGAAGATCTATGAAATTTCCATATATGAAAGAGCAAGGAAGGCAAATATCCTAACCACTAGGATTGAGGCATAGTTGTTGTATGAAATAGAAATGAAAATCAAATCATGGTACTTTACCTGGCTCTTGTTTCCAACGCACTCCTCCTGGTGGTGCACGTCTCACCTCCCTTCCACCTATAATATTTATAATCATAAAAGCATCTAAGTAAGCAAACATTATAGGTTCAAGAGATCTGAATAAGCAATATGTCAAAGAACTAAAGAATTAAGGAATACAAAACCTTTAGCTAGTTCTGCAGGAACATAGTTGGAATCCATTTTTATGAAGTCCTCCAATGGTGACTCTGGCTCGGCCCTCTCCGACTTACTATCCGAGAACCTTTCTATATCCATTCCTTTCGTTTCTAGAAACATAATATGTGATGTACAGAAGATCAGAAATCTAAAACTAGCAAAGGCTCATACAAAGTAACACGTAAATAATGAAGTAATCTGAAGTTCCGAATGTCAGACATAGAATAACAAGACATTAAATGTCAAATCATGCAGAAGGGTATTCCAGCTATAGAAGATCGGAAATCTGATACTATGCAGTGTGGACATAAACCGGAGCATCAAATAATCCATAATCATAGCAATTTAATTATCAGATAATGCAAAAGGAGAATGATTAATTTTCAAAGACTGCAGAAGGATTGACCATTCTAACAGAAAATGTTTTCCAAACCGTACTCGAAATGAACCAACCACCTGAATTGTTGGGGGTTTATTTGCCCTGATTTCTTACCATAAATAGGTTTTCCTTTTTAGGAAAAGGTTTTAATATTTGACTAGTCCTTTTCTTGTAGGAAAGGTTTTAGGACTCTATAAATATAGGTTTGTTCCTTCTAACTTAATAAGCATTCACGATGTAGTCCTTAGGTTTTGAGAGTTTTGGTTGTGGGGGAGAATTTGTGAACCTCCTCGTATTCAGAATTATGTAGCTTCCCTAATTTGCATTGTAGACCATCACAAATTCTCAGGAGGAAAAAATGTAAGAGGAGAATCTTCAAAAAGAAAAAACAAATCCTCTGAAAGAAGAGTCCATGATGACTCCTTGAATTGACAATCTGCTAGTATAGCAGCATGCACAAAAACCGAGTATCAGATAAGGTAGAAATACAGGGCTAAGAGCTTAAGAGTTCGCTCTGCAGACGCCAGGCTAGTCATGGCCCTCCAGGTTTGGGTTGTGACAAAACGATAGTGACAATCATGTATAGATAGCTTAATAAGTGGCTTTATCCATTGCTAAACAAGTGGTATGACATTTCCTCACAAATAGTAATAAAAGTTTCAATAATTTGAATTCTTACTCTTCAAAACATCACTTTCATCTGCCAAATAGTAAGGAGAGGAGTTCCAGAACTTCTGTAAATTTGCCTGCCAAATTGCCAAAGGTATCCTTTCCGTGACACCAGCTGCATTACCCAAGTTCTCAACTTCCTGCAAAAGGTAGAAATGTTATCTGCAACCCAGCCGACCACATTAAGCTCAAAACATTTTCAATCATAATTAGTAAGAGATCTATCTTCATCAAGTTCAATAGTTAATCTCAGCTAACAGGCTTCTAGTGATTGCGGACATTAATCAGCTCGGATTATATCTACCAAAAAACTATGAGTCAGGTTAAATCAACTAAACTAACAGTTGACATGATCTCAACCTTCCGTAACACAAGTGATAAGACACATTAATCAAGGCTTATATCAAATGTTTTCACTTGAATATAGAATATACTGTATAACACCAAAAAACAGAAAATCATCCTTTCGGAAGCCACTTTTCCTATCCCTTCACAAAAATATTAATCTCTTACATTAGCACACGTTTTTACAGCTTCAAAAGTTGGAAAAGTTCACCCATTTCCCAAAATCAATATATTAATCAACTATGCGTCAATTTCAAATTAATTGTGTCCACTATATGATTCATACAGCTTTATTTATGTGGTATACAGATGGTACATTATAGTTAAATTAATTTATCTAACAGTGGACCTATCACAATCCTCGTCCCACATTCAAACTTGCGACCAAGCTCATTAAATAGTGTTACCCATCCAGAAACATATACTGTATCATAATTCGTGTGAAGAACATAAGATTAACGAACCAAAGGATTTCACTTACAGGGAAAAGTTCAAATGAGACTTGCTTAGCCAGCCGATTGCCACCATATCCACCACGCCCCCGACCCCGCCCTCTGGAGGCCATTAAATCAAACCCTGTATCATGGCCCATAAAAAATATTAATACAGTATTACCCGGATAAAAAAAAAACAGTAGTCACACCATAAATCTTTTGTTGCTTAACCAGTAGGATAAATACTTGTAGGGGTAAACATGGTTCAGTTTGAGTCTTTAAAAGGGAAAAAATAAAACATATATAAACCATACCAGACAATCATAGAGCAATATTTTCGATCACATAATTATTAGTTGTTGACTAAGTATAAAATGAACTTTCTCATCCGATAGTGCTTTGCCTCATGCTATAGAGCATGTATACCAAAAGCCAAGCAAATTTTGAAGGTGATGTAAAGTATTTAGAATAACTTATGTATCCACAGACTAGCATATTTGCAAAGCATGTGTGAGAACAGGAATAGAATCATGGGAACATTTTTGACAAAAGCAACAGAGAAACAAAAAAAAAAACAAAAGAGAGCTTGAGACAATTTCAACAAAATTTTAGGCATAAAAATAACATAGACTTGAGCAAATCATGCTATATACTGCTCCCTCCATCCACTTTTGATTGTCATGGTTTCCTTTTTTAGAGTCAAACGATAAGAATTTTGACAAATATTTTACTATGTATTTTTTCTTCATATTAATATGCAAAAAATTGCAATTTATATTATTTTTCATATAGTTTTTGAATATCTAATTTTTTTTGTTTAAAATATCAAATTAATATAATCTAATTTAACTTTAACAATTAGTCAAATTGACTTGACAATTAAAAGTGGACAGAGGAGTACTAGACAGCGAAAACAGTAAACCAAAAGTAAATGCACAAGAAGGAATTAGGACTGGAAGTGCTGAACATTCAGTGGGTTTAATTTTTTTTATTTAGCCATTGTATCATTCAATTA